CTCGTGAAAGTTTTGGCTGGAGGAACTACTATCTCGGAAACGAGAGGAGCTACAAGGCTGAAAACTTCAGGAGGACGTTTTGCTGAGGCTTATGCTGAGATTTAACAAACTGAAAATTAGCTCCAAAGTACGCCGAGCTTTCATGTACCACCACCAAGTGAAACCTTTGGCGCGAAATTTGCTCAGAACACACAGAGCTAGGAGGTTGAAATTTTGGACCAATGTTCCGCCCAAATTTTCAAATTCGGCTTTCACATACGTTTGCGATTCACGCACCAGCACGTAAAATTTTTAATGGGAAATTTCGCAGCTTATGATCCAAAACGCATATTCACTATTTTCGCACAGATCAAAATGTAAAAAAAATGCATAATCGCACTGGCTACCTTGGTGAGCGCCGCTATTTTTTTGTGAGCTGGCACCGGGTCAAATGAGAAAATTGACACTTTTCTTACGCGTGGCTAGACACGCGTAATAACTGAAGTTGAAAATCTCTACATGCAAAAAGAATGCCCATGCAAAGTTTCAATTTTCTGGCTTATCTGGTCCCAGAGATCATTTCCTGCCAAAGAATCTTAAATATTTTTTTCGAAAGCCCGCAAGCGATGGAAATACAGCAAATTTCAAGCTCCGAAAAAAACAATTTAGTAGCGAAGTGCACCGGCAACACTGGTGCACTTCGCTACTAGATTATTTTCATGATATTAACTTGTCTTGCAAAAATAGTCAGCGACAAATTGGCGGAGCCTTGAGAGCTGTTTGCATAGGCGCTTAATCAAACACGACACGTACTAAAGCATCCTAAATGCATTGTTTGCGGACTTGCAAAACAGTTTGCGTGATCTCCCGTGTGTCCGTACATGATGCGGACAAAGGACATGGGAAAAGTGTGCCAACATGGTTTTAAAACATGCACAGAGACTTTCAGTACTCCAGCTGCTTTAGTTGCGGAATTACAAAATAATTGGCAACGCGCACCGGGCGGACCTCTGCGATCATGCGTTTTTACAGTATTTCTTGTTGTAATGAGATCGCTCGGAAACCCACTAGCTAGAGTGAGTGACATACTAGTGCTCGAAATTCAGAA